GCTAAGAATACATGTATAGCTTAAGAGCAAGAAGGTGCAGGAATCTCAGATTGGTTCTCTCCAGGGTGTTCTTTTCAGTCATAGTCATAAATTAAATGTTCTGTCCCCCTGATGTTTTACGTAGTAACTTGCATGAGAAATCTGATTTACCTGAAATAAACTTAGTAAAATTATCCAGATGGCTCCCAAAAGCTACTCAAAAATGGCGTTTTTAAAGTGATTGGGTGATTAGGACTTTGTTCAGAAAGAGTTGCAGAGCTCTTGCCCTCCATTTCATACCAGGTCTCTCTTCTGGTTTGTTTACTAAAGTAGCCCATAAGTCCTCCCTTCTAGTAGTCTGTACAAAATAGCAGTGTCTCCTTCCTCAGTAGCCAGTGTTTGTATCCTCAAGGACTGCTGGAGAAAAGACAGTGTTAGATTCAAATCCAGTCCAATGTGTCTCCAGGAAGAAGTTGGGCCAGCAAGGTACTGAAAGGTGTTACTAATGAAGATTTCCTTTAATATTATTGGGCCTCCATACTGTGGACAAGCACTTGATTGCTATTGTGGAGAGAAACTCTGCACTTTATTATATATCTTCCCTACACTTCAGTTCATCCACTGCCAGTAGAAGGAATGGGGGCAGGGAAGAAAATAGAAGTACCTTTCAGGCATTTCTTTGTAGTGCTCTTTTCAAGAGAAATAATTGCCTCAATGCCTACATTACCTAAATTTCTGCAAAAGATGAATCCTCTTTTATGCTTTCTACTTGCTGGCAAAAGCATCCCAATCAGACTGTGTGCCGTTTGTTGCAAATCTGAGCCACAAACTACCTTCTATCCCATGAACGTGCTTGCCTAACAATAGGGTGTCTCCCAGATAGTACCCTTCTTGCAGTAGTTACTTGAGTATCCCAACACCAAATTCCCTCTGCAGTTGTCCATGTTTGTTTCCTTGTGCAGAGCTGCCTTTGAGGGATATTTCCACCTCCATGAGGTAGGAAACTATTTTCAGTGCTATGCTCTACTTTAATTTCTCTCCAGCTGCACTTACCTAAGCAGCACCCATGCTTCACTGGGGGTTAAATAGAAGATGACAGTGAGGAAGGAACATTTAGTACCCCAGCAACAACAAATGCAATGTCTATCTACAACCAGCTACAAGTCAGGGAGATCTGCATTCTTAAGAAAGAAGTCATTAGTATTGGTCAAAACAAATCAAAACAAACAAAGAAAGTGTGTTTACTGGGGGGTGAGTGGAGGAGTTGTAATACAGAAAAGCTGAATGTCAGGCTTACATGAACTGCCCAGTTACACCAATGATACAAGCTAATGGAGTGTGTTTAAAATAATATCAAAATGTTTCTATTGGCAGTACAATCTAAGGGAGAGCTGAATGGCAGAAAACAAAACATCTGGTGAAGATACTATTTCGGGCCAGTGGGAGAAAATAGTTATCCTTTGTGATTTAATAATGAGTGGGAGGGAAGTCTCTTCTCATTCTTTTATACTATTATAAACCTATTTCTTATGGATTTTCCGAAATTAATATATCTGGATTATTGCAAACTGTATGGAAATTAATGCTTTACCTGTATCATGTGCTTCTGAATTATTTGCTGAAAAAGCATGAAGATATACCTTAGGAATATTACCTGCCTTCAGTATAGCAAAGTGTCTTGCTAATTATTGAAGAGGAAAAAAAATCCTTATAAAGTAATCCTTCAAAGTAGGTAATACCATTTTTACACTTATATATTTGAAAAAGGATTGCGTAAAGCTGAATTTATCTTTTTTTTTTAACATCAGATGCTGCCAAATTATTTAAATTTAAAATCCAAAAGAAAAGGATATTACGTATTTCATAATGCTTTTACAAGTGGTTGAATGATACTTAAGGTTGAATTTTCAGTCTAAATTAACAGAGCTTCACTTTAGATACCAGAGAAACAGAAGCCAGACATCTTTGCATAGACTTATGTATCTACAAGTCTGTCATTGAACCATTGCAACATACTTTTGCAAGACAGTAGATTATATTTGGCAGTACTTAGACCATAAATTCTATTGTGTTGTTTCCATTATTTTTATATTTAAAGCCTTTTGGTGATGGAAGTCCTTGTTAGCTAAGGTCGGTGGCATTAGTAAGCAGGTGAATTTGGTGTAAATTGGTAGAATTTGGTGTAAATTGGTAGAAGCCATTTGTTGAAAGTATGGAGATACCTCACGGAGGTGACATCCAGCTGTTATGAGCTCACTCTCTCTCCTTGTCTAGCATAAATGCTAGACTCTACAGCACTGGGCTGTGGAAAGGTATTACAAAAAGACCAATCTTTAAGGACTTTCCACTTCTGTGTAGAAAGGGAGAGACTCATATTTTCGTATTCATGTATTGCCCAACATTTTGAACTGTAGCTGCTTGCCTGGGAAAAGGTTGGTTAGACTAAGCCTAATCCAAAATTATGTCTGAAATTCCTTCCTTCACTGTACAATCCCTTCCATTCCTGAAGCACCTTTCCCTTTCAGAAATCCTCTCCCTCTTACTCTGAAAATCATGTTGATGACACTTCTGTGGGAATGAGGAGACTGTTGTTCTGAGTAAAATGGAGTTTTTTCTTGGAAGACATTGAGTGGCCTGTCCTGTCCCAGAAGAGCTAATGTCTCCATCTGCAGGCATCATGCTTTCACATATCATTCTGCCACTGCTCAACTATTAGAATACGTGTGATCTCTTTGATCCTTCTTTTACGTGTGTCTCCTGTTGAAAGGATAAATTTAGGCGTCTACTTTCAGGGGAGGTTTGGGGCTGTGAATCCCTGAGACATCCAGATTTTTGGCATGCATGATGGCTTACCCATGATACTGAGAGGTAGCTCTCATGAGGTTTCCTTTCTGTGGAAGTTACAGTGTGGGCAGTAACTTTTGCATGTGCTAGTTTTCTTCCATTATTGATTGCAGAGAATGCCTTGGCATGTATCAGACACTGCATACATAAGTACTAAATCCAACCACACAGATATAGCAGCCAAGAACTGAAATCCTATCCCTGCCTCATCTTTGACTGGACTTCAGCTTCTCCAAACAATTTTAGGTTTCTGTCTCTTTCCAGGGAGATAGACTAGTTCAGGTCTGGAACGACACTGGTCATCAGGCTAGATAGAAATTTAGCATTATGATAATGAATAGCTAGGTCATACAGATGCAAGGAAACTATCATATTGATTTGCCATGTGTTGCACAGGGATCATCATCTCTCATTTGTTGATATTTCATACTAGTTAGCTTGTACATGGGCTCTGCTCAGGTGAAACTAGTACTTGGGCAGTGAGAACTAGGTGCAGCCCAGAGTAAAGCTATGCCACAGTCCAGGGCACTGTAAATTGCCTCATGAATCTCTTGATCTGGAGACCTTCTTCCTGGTGCTGACCAAAAAAATGTCAGTAGAGATAGAGCCAATATAAATGTAACCTGAGGTTTTAAATACCTATGCACCTAAATGCCATTTTTCTACCATTTGCCTTTAACTTTTAATAAATTCATGTCAATCATTTTTACTAATTCAGAGGCTTTCTTGTCTTCAAAATAGTAAAAAGATCCTATCAGAGTCAAAAATTCTTCCTTTTGGAAAGGATTTGTCCTCAGAGTTCCTTTTTGCTAAATTCTTTTCTCACGCATTCCATGCATTATGAGGACTTCAAAGGGCAGGTCCAAAAAAACTAATAGAAACGAGATTTAGCTTAGTTAATACCTTCCCTTCATGTAAAATTAGTTCCTAGGACACTTTACTAGAGACAGAAAAAAACATTCTGTCCCTCCATCAGATTGCTTCCTCTAGCTCTTTTTGTTTGCTAAGCCTCAGATATTATGGCTATTAATTATGTCAGATCCTCTTCTCAGTTTATTATAAGACATCTGCTCCCATTTTGTCCAGTTAGGTGACAGGGATGTATGGCATGCTATGATGTATTAATAACACTCTTCTCTTGAATGAGTATCTTCTCTTTGATTCACACTGTTAAATAATCTAATCCATGTGCTGGAATGACAGATAATACTTTGGAATCAACTGTAAGAATACTGGTTGGTATGGCAGGAGGACATTCCTCTGCTAGTTTGTTTTTCTTGAGTATTAGTGTTACATTGGCTTGTCTCAATGTCTATAATAAATTGTTTTTCTCTGAGGAATTTTCAAATAATTTCGTTAAGAGATTGCTATCCATGTGTAAAATAATTTCCATTCAGTCCTGGCCTACATCCATTAGTGATAAAGCTATATCGTTTAGACATTTCATATGACTAGCCTGTCACTAAACATATGGTAAAATCCACATCTTATTCTTTCCTGTTCTTTTTTAAGCTCTGGGGGTTTTTTTGTTGTTTCTTTTTGGGGGGGGGAAAGGAGGTGTTGGTATTTTCTTTTTTGGCAACAGAAGTAACAAGCATTATCTTCAGTTGCCTAATACATAATGACTGAGACAGTCAGTTAAAATGTTTTACGAGATTCTTCAGCAATAATTAGAGCTTCTGATAGCATCAGTTAGGCTAAAGGAGAGTCTACTTTATTAGCTTACATGCTAGAATGTACCTACCTTGTGTATGCTTTTTTAATGAAGCAGAGGTTAAATTGACCACACCCATTCCACCTTTGTCCTGTTTCTATGTTTTAAACAGTTATCTACATCTTCTCTCAGTACTTAATTTTATACCCTAATACCCATCTGAAAAACTGCACCTCATTCATTTATTTCCTTTGTTTCCAATACTGAAATTGTCAACTATAACCCTGTGGCTCATTGAGATCCAACATGAAACACAACCACATTTCCTTCATGTTAGAGGTGTTTGCTTGGGAATTTTTTAGTTTATTGATGTTTTTACCTACCCAGTCAATGAGAATTTTTATTAAGTAGTGGTATATACATGGCAATGAAAATGATAGTGTAATTTGCCTCTATTACTTCCTGATATCAGGATTCTGCTGCACTGCAAATTTCATATCTGTTGTTATTATTTGTTTGACAGAATCAAAAACATGCCAGGTGCTTTGCAAAACAGAGAACAAGAAAAATCCCTTTCCAGAAGAGATGACAGCCTGAATAGAAATGACATAATGGCAGGAGACAAAGGAAGCAGAAAGGGGAAGCAAAACAAGAGTTATAACCATAAGATCATGAGATTGGTTTGGAGGCACAGTGAACGCTATGAGGCATTTTTTTAAAGCGCATAAGGACTGTAGTTGGGATTAGAGAATGGAAATGTAGAAAAGAAGCATGGAAAGGAATGGAGAAGAAGGGAGGAACAGACTGGCAACAGAAGGAAGAGTAAACAGAGGTGTATGGGAGAGGCCAGAACACACACCTGACAAACTGAGGATTATGACTAATGACAAGAAGGAAAGACCACATCTGAAGAGCATGATGATTTCAGGAGGATGGTGAAGCAGGACATGGCGATGCTGCTAGGGAGAGAAGAGCCAGCAAAGCTGCCCTGGAAGCCTGCCCTGGAAGCTCCTCATGCTAACATAACCCTGCTTCCCCATCTTCTTTCTAGCTCCCCTCTTATACACAAAATATGTATATAGAAGAGCAAAGGAGAAGGAGAAGCAGCTAAATAAATCCTTTCCAAAGATCCTGCTGGGGAAGAAGTTTAAGCTGGGATGATACAGATTTGCTCCTACTGATGCTGCTCGTGATAGCAAGAGGCAGAGAGCATTCATTCTGTTAGCCATTCTCATGCAGCCAAATCAATGGGAGTCTTTGCCTCTGCTTACTAATAGGCCTTGTTGAGAAATAATCAGCAAAATTATAATACTTCAGCCAGTCCAGGACATTTTAAAATGTCCTTTTATTCTAGGACAGAAAGAAGCAGAAATTATAACATTCACAGAGAAGTGGAAACAGGGAAGAAAAATACTTGAGCAGTTTGTTTTTAAAGCTGAAAATAATCATTTCACTTTCACAGAAAAATATAAGGCTAATTTTGCTTATTGTAAAAGAAGTACATTTTATAACTCTTCGTGAAAATTTCTGGTACATCTGGGAATTATTTTAATTATGTAGGACTGGTTGTTCTATTTTCTTTTTTTTTTCTAGAAAATTGTTGTTTCTAGAAGGGAACTGGGAAATTGCCATGTTCAGTCTGTCAGACATTTTAAAATACTCTGATTTCCAAAATAAGAATTCTTCAGGAGTAAGAAAGCTGCAATGTGGCCAGTCTAATCCCTTCCTCACTTCCTTCTCCTCTGCTTTGGTGATCAGACATGTCTAATTATTAGTCTGCAAAGAGCAAAACCAGTTTCTGTGTCTCCCTGAGAAAAGGCATTTTGCCAACTGTTTGAAAAATTTTTAACTGGATCTGCTTACAGGAAGTCACTCTTTTTGCTGCAGATTATTTCTCCACTTAAATCGTCCTCAAACCTCTTCCATTTTGCCTGGAAAAGTTTATCAGAAAGCACACTGGAAAGGCTCAGATCTTTCTGTCTCCAGTGAAACTGTTTTGGAACATAGTTATAGCTTAGCCGATGTACTGGTATGACAGTTGAGAGACTACTGCTGTTAATGGAGTACTCTATTACCTTGGCATATATAGACACTTTTCACTTGATACTTCTGACTGCAAAGTATTGATGTTTAGGGTATTATAGGTACTTGTGTATTATATTTTTTCTTATAAGTTTTAGAGGACAGCACTGGATAAATTCTTCTTCTTCTTCTTCTTCAGGGTAACACAGCTTTGCATGAGTCATTCATCTTGAGTGTACACTAGAGTGATATGAAGTTGGTTGTTGTGACACCTTATCAATATAACTCCCATTTTTAGTCTCTTTAGCAGTGGAATGATATAAGTATTGCCTAGTAGAGACAATGGCCTCATTTAAGAATATCTTGATGACTCTGGATAGGATTCAAATAATTTGTCTGAGTGCGGAGGAGACAAGTGTAAGTCATAACTGAAATATTACCAAAAATCCTTAACTGGTTGGGTTGTCCATCATTTGCTTGAAGATTTTGGTAAATGGTGGTTTACTGGATTCTCAAATGGCAGCAATGGTCAAGCACTTTTTTAAAAATTGTTTTCAATTTGAACTTTGTTTAAGTTAATTAAACTCTTCTCATCTCAGGGTACCATTTTAGCATTTAGTAGAGGTTTACAAGACCTTCTCTGTCAGTGTAGAAACCTCAGCTACTAAAGAACATACCAGGTATAGAGTCAACACAATCTCAGCAGTGCTTCAAGAATCAGGCCCACTTCAGTAATTTCTCTCCACTGTTATTAAAATAATACTGGATTTAAATCATATAGCCATGATGTCAACTTTACAAAAATCTGCTCTGTCTAGATTATTTTTCAATCAAATGTAGCTCAAAGTTTTATAGCAACTGACATATCATTAAAAAAATGAGATTGCAAAGTAATGTCATAGTACCTCCCCATAATACAGAATTTTTTTATATATAATTTTTACATATTTGAAAGAACACCATTAACTCAGTTGCATACACCTTTTTGCAATAATAGACTCAGCATAAAGCAATATCAAAACACAGTTAATGTTTCTACTAATTTTATTTAGCCAAGATACAGATTTTGCATAATTTTGCCAGTGGTATGATAGCAGATCTGGAGGTTATGTATACCTATCTTTTGGCTCTGAGAGAGAATTCAGCTGTGTGGCACCTTCCCACCCTCTGCTACCAAAAAAAAAAACAAAAAACAAAACAAAACAAAAAAATTCAATTAAGAAATGTAGCATAACCTCTGAAAACTGCAGTCTGACCTACCTTCTGAGTTCAGACCGGATGCATGATTTGGGAAGGAATTTAATACCAGCTACCTCAGTAGCCTCATGGGAAGCGGTTGAAAAAGAGAAAAAGAGAGTATTATAATGTATCCTGAGAATAGAGGGCAGCATGGTTATTTTGCCTATATTTTTTCTTTTAATCTTGCCTATGCTTTAACTCACAATCCTTCCCTATTGTTGTCTGTCAGCTTTTTCGAGAAGACACTTGGTTTTGTGTAGCTACACCGACTCAAGTCCACATAACTCTATGTATCTGGCAGGTGTTTGACTTGGTAGGGGTACAGTTCTGTTGGACTGTGAGGCCTCCACTGTCCCCTGCAGATTAGGGACACCTTCAGCTGTTGAATTCCAGACATCTTCAGGGCTCTATATCCAATATGTACAGTTCAAATGCTTCCTAAATCAGGGGAGTGCACTATGACGAATAGTTTGAATTTGTCCTATATCCTGTGAATTTACTTACTGCTTCTGTCAATCTTTCTCTCTCTGTCTTGCCCTTCTTTCTCCTGAAGTAGAGTGGCCAGGGCTGCATGAATTATTCAACATAAGAGTGTATGATGTATTTATACAGTGATATAGCGATACAGTGTATTTATAGATATGTTTTCTATTTTGTTTACAGTTTCTTTCCTAATCATCCAAATATCCTGTTTCACATTTTTACTTGACACTGAGTGCTTGACTTGATGTTTTCAGAGAGATGTCTAATATAATTCCTTATTTTTTTCTTCTCAAGCAATAGTTAATTTGTAGTCTCTGCCTGTGTATGTATAGTTAGATTTATTTTCCCCTTGTTCAGTTCTTTCTATTTTATCAAATTTCATCCCCCCTTCATCGCTGAGAGCATTCAAAATTGTGAAATAATTTTCCAGTTCTTTACAGGCAGCCTCTGATTTAACTTTTAAAACCATTTTGTATCAATTTCACATCTGAGAGTTCTTAGATATCACATTTCCCTTTACTACTAATAAAAGTACTTTTGCTTAAATCATTTGTTTAATTTCATGCCTCAGTCCAGGAATCTTTGCATGCACTTAAGTGCCCGGTGGCTGAAATTTATTTCTGTGTTTTTCAGGATGGGGGAGGAAGGACTCCAAGCTACTGTCATTTATGTTTTATAAATTGGTGACCTTTAAAGTAGACTTTAGACCTTCTTATTGCCTCCTGGTTCTGACAGAGTGGTTATACAACCTCCAGAGTGAAAAATTGCTAAGGGCTAGATCCATAAAGTGCATCTAGGAATGCCTTTAGCCTCTTAGGCGTCCTGCCTCCTTGCAAAAGCTATAAACACAGACTAATCACATCCCTCTAAACTGAAAGAGAAAACCTGACTGTTTAGCAACAACCTCCACTAGCTCTGGCATGTTGAGCAGGGAATAGTCTGAGTAAACAGAAGAAACAGCCAGATGGTGGAAATTAAAGGAATGAATGGTGTACTGATACTGGTATATTTTTCAACACTGCTTAATTCATGGGACTGTAAGGTGCTGTGAAGTGGGAATTCCAGCATCTCTCCTGCAGTAGCTGTTCCTCTTGTTTATCTCACTATTTCCTGCAGTGCGCTCTAGCATTAAAGTACACCTCTGAGGTCACAATCCCTCTCTTTCTATCCCAGTAAACGTTGAATTTTCAGGGTTAGGCAACAACTGAGTGAACTTCAGGGAACTACCCCGTCAGCGTGAGCATTCAAAGCTGCATTTAGCCACTTCTGTTTCAGTGCAGATCTAAGCTGGGGTCTGTGTTACAATACTCATGAAAGCAGTGACAAACTTGCTTGTGTAAAAAGCAATCACTCTATGTATCCCATATCTTAACTTCACCCAAATGGCATTCTAGTAATTCTACAAAACCCATTCTCTGTCTACACAAGTACTATGCCATGACCTCATGTGAATACTGAGAGTATGTAGACAGGTGAGTAGACCCTATGAATTATAAATATTCATAAGACACCAGAAATCTTTCTTAGTGGGGAAAAGGAGCAGACGGCATAAGTGAACAATGACTGACACTTGGTTTTTCTCAAACTGAGTTGTATCTTGAATATTTGAGAGAAGGAATTAAGAGTGCATTTATTTATTTCTGGTTTAGACACACCTCCACTTGCATATATTTAAAAAAATCAAAACAATACAAAAAAAAAACCCGCATCACAAATATGTAGTACTTTTTTTTCTTGTAATTATGAAAGTAATTCCATCAAAAGCTACAGCTATACTCATCTGGCCAGTGACAAAAGTGAACTAGCTGTCACAGGAGGTCTCCCCTGAGCCTCCTTTTCTCCAGGCTAAACAATTCCAGCTCCCTCAGCTGCTCCTCGTAATAATTGTGCTCTAGACTCTTAACCAGCTTTGCTGCCTTTCTCTGGACCCACTTCAGCTCCTCAATGTCCTTCATGTTGTAAGGGAGCCAGAACTGAATACAATACTCGAGGTGCAGCCTCTCCAGTGCTGAGTACGGGGGTACAATCACTGCCCTCATCCTTCTGGTCCCAATATTTTTGATAAAAGCCGAGATGCCATTGGCTTTCTTGGCCACCTGTTTGTTCATGTTCAGCTGGCTGTCAGCTAGCACCCCCAGATCCTTTTCCTCTGGGCTGCTTTCTAGCTGCCCTCATCCAGTAGCACTATATGGGGTTGTTGTGACCCAAGTGCAGGAGCTGTCACTTCACCATGTTGAACTTCATGCAGTTGGCCTTGACCAATTGATCCAGCCTGTCCAGATCCCTCTATGGAGCCTTCCTGTTCTCCAGCAGATCAACACTCCTGCCCAACTTTATGTCATCTGTAAAGTGACAGAGGTTACACCTGATTTCCTCATCCAGATCATTAATAAAGATTAAACAGAACAGGCCTCAACACTGAGCTCTGGTGACTGGCTGCCACTAGTGTATGGCCAGTCTTCGCGAACGAAGATTTTGGGAAAGGTGTTTTACTTTTCAAGCCTGCGCAATGGATTTTTTAGGTGAGACACAGCGTGCGCTGAACTGAGCCCACCCTTTAATCCTAAGGTTCATCTGCCAGGGCCAAGCGAGCTTGTACAATGGCAGTGAGGTCCTCAGGACGTAGGTTTTGTTTAGAGTGACCTTCTCATAGATGGATGCCCTTACAGGGCTGACGAGCTCCATCTGCTGGGGGGAATTCCCTGACCGGGGATCGAACCCGGGCCTCGGCGGTGAGAGCGCCGCATCCTAACCACTAGACCACCAGGGGGCCCAGGCTGCCACTAGTGACTGGCTGCCAATAGAACTTAACTCCATTCACCATCACTTTCTGGGTCCAGCCATCCAGATATTTTTTACCCTGCAAACACCTGTCTACACCATGAGCAGCTAGTTTCTCCCAGAAAATGCTGTGGGAAATTTTGTCAAAGGTTTTAATAAAGTCAAGGTAGGCACAATCCACAGCCTTTCCCTCCTCTACTAAGTAGGTCACCTTGTCATAAAAAGAAATCAGGTTGGTCAAGCAGGACCTGCCTTTACAAACCTGTGCTGACTGAGCCTGATCTCCTGGTTGTCTTGCATGTGCAGAGTGATGGCACTCAAGACAATCTGACCCATGACCTTCCCCAGCACCAAGGTCAGGCTGATGGGCCTGTAGTACCCCCCAAAAGTCCTTCTTTTGACCCTTCTTGTAGCTGGGCGTCACATTTGTTAATCTCCAGTCATTTGGGACTTCCCTGGTGAGCCAGCACTGTTGAAAAATGATGGAAAGCAGCTCAGTAAGCTCTTCTGCCGGCTCCCTCAGTACACTCAGGTGGATCCTATCTAGACCCCATGGGCTTGTGTGCACCTAAATTGGGTAGAAGGTCACTGAAAATTTTGCCTTGGATTATGGGGGCTTCATTCTGCTCCCATACATGTCTTTCAGTTCAGAGGGCTGGGTACCAAGAGAACAACTGGTCTTACTATTAAAGACTGAGGCAAAGAAGGCATTATCATTATTTTTTTAATGTTTTAATAGTTATTAAAGTTGTAATTATTACTATTATTAAGACTGAGGCATTACCTCAGACCCGTACTCATCCTTTGTCACTGTACTCCCTCACACATTCAATAAAGGATAGAAATTCTCCTTATCCCCCTTTTTGTAGCTAATGTATTTATAGAAAGTATTTTATATTGTAGACTGCAATGAGATCTCCCCTCAGCCTCTTCTTCTCAAGGCTGAACAGACAAGTGACCTCAGCCACTCCTTATATGGCTTCCCCTCAAAGCCCTTCACTACCTTTGTTGTCCTCCTTTGGACACTTTCTAATTAAGCTTAATATCTTTGTGGTGACAAAAACTGCACACAATATTCAAGCCGAGGCTGCCCCAGTGAAGAGCAGAGCGGGACAATCCCCTCACTCAACCAGCTGGTGATGCTGATGCCCCCCAGGACATGGTTGACCCTCCTGGCTGCCAGGGCACTGCTGACTCAGATTCAACTTGCCATCGGGCAGGACCCCCAGGTCCCTTTCCATGGCACTGCTTTCCAGCACCTCATTCCCCCATCTGTATGTACATTCAGGGTTGCCCCATCCCAGGTGCAGAATCCAGCACTTTCCCTTGTTGGACTTCATATGGTTGGTGATTGCTCAGTCCCCTAATTTGTCGAGGTCTCCCTACAGGGTCTCCCTACCTTTACGTCCTCTGCTAACTTGCTTAGTATCCCTTCGAGTCCTGCATTCAAGTAATTTATGAAGATGTTGAAGAGCACAGGGCCTAAGATTCCCTGTGGAATCCCACTAGTGACAGGTCACCACTCTGATGTTGATGTTGTTGAGGGTAATTCACTATTACCCTCTGTCCCTGACCCATGAGCGAATTGCTCACCCACTGCACAATGTGTCTATCCAGCTGTGTGCTGGACATTTTGAACAGAAGGATCCTGTGAGAGACAGTATTGAAAGCTTTACTGAAATCCAAAAAATTACATCAACTAGCTTCCCTTGATGAACTAGGTGGGTTATCTTGTCATAAAAGGAAATCAGGTTGGATAAGTAGACTTTCCTCTCATGAAGCCGTACTGATTGGGACCAATGACAGCCCTGTCTTTCAAGTGTTTTTCAATACTTCCCAGAATAATCTTCTCCGTAACTTTACCAGGCACTGAAGAGAGAGAGTGACAGGCCTGTAGTTTCCAGGGCCCTCCTTCTTGCCCTTCTTGAAAATCGGGGCAATATTTGCCAGCTTCCCATCAGCTGAGACCTCTCCAGATTCCCAAGACCATTCAAAAATCATTGAGAGAGGCTTTGCAATGACATCAGCCAGCTCTTTGAGGATTCTTGGATAAATTCCATCAGGCTCCATAGACTTGTAGGGATCCAGCTGGAACAGCAGATCCCACATAATTTCAGGGTCGACTGGGCATTAATCATTCTCACAGTCACAGTCCTCTAGCTCAGGGCACTGAGATCTCCTTGGTCCATCATCCGTGTTGAAGACTGAGGCAAAGAAATGTTAAACATCTCTACCTTGTCTCTGTCCCTGTTTGTGAGGTGACCATCGTCATCCTGTAACAGACTGATGATATTTCTATACTGTCTATTGTCATTAATATTTTTTAAAAAACTTTTTTTATTGTCCATATTTCTGGCAGCTTCAACTCCAGTTGAGCTTTGGCCACACAGATTTTGTCCCTAGAGAGGCAAGCACTATTTCTGTATTCTTTCTGTGTTGCTTGACCTTGCTTCCACTGGGCACGCACCTTCCTTTTTTGCATTATTTCCAAGGAAAAGATTCCTGCTCAGCCAAACTGCCTGCTTGACTTCTGACATTTGGGAATTGCCTGCTCCTGTGCCCATGACCCCACTCCTTATTTCTGCAAGAACTGAAAACTCTATCATTTCATGATTGCTGTGCCCAAGACGGCCTCCAACCATCACACTACTCCTCAAGTTCTGCTCTTTTTGCAAACAACAGGTCCAGTGGGGCATTCCTTAGTTGGATCCCTCAGAAGTTGCATTAGGAAAGTACTCTAGGAACCTCCTAGACTGTCTCCTCTG